ATTTACATTGAAATATTACTTCTTCCAATTGAGAATTGAATGACGCTTATTGGTTTTGTTTTTAATTCAGTGATGGGCTCTAGGGAACAAAAAAGTATTAAATGATGAAAACTTCATACGTGAGTCCGTAATACCCAGGTTATATAGTAAAACTAGTCATCCGTGTTGTTTATTGTTAGGCTAGTAAATTAACGCGAAATACGGCCGAATCACAGCGAAGATTGTCACTCTGGTCGGCCAATAACTAAGGGTGTTATTAACTGCATGGCCTTTCGACAGAAGGTTGCTGCCGAGATTCAATCAAGAAACGCATAAAGAGGCAGCGCCTCTTCCGATCGGGATCAAGTCAGTCTACAGCTGGATACTGTCGCACGGCCGTAGCATCCTCTCCGTTATCTGGAGTTTCTGGACGCTCAGCGGCCGCTGCTCTTGAAGATGATCTCGTATTGCGATGATCCATCTTCGTATAGGAGTTGGTACAGATACCGGCTTATTCGTGTAAGAAGCTCTATCGAGCCTCTGCAACAAGCGAGGTGACACCGGCAAACAGAACTCTCTAACAGTTCAAGCTTTCTTACAATGACAAATATATTGACTTACATCATTAATACATTATCAGAGGCTTTATGGAAAATTTCATATGCCAAAATTCTGGTGTTCTTTTGACCAACTGGGTAGACAGTAGCGTGGTAATCCTTGGTTCCAATTTTGTTGGAGCAGCTCCACATGATATGTGTCAGAGATGGGACAAGAGAAACAAGCAATATATAGAAGAACCACGCCCAAATATAATAGAGGAATCAATAATATGATTATCTTATCTCCCTTTACAAATCGTTTATCAGATCAAAAAAAGGACAGTTTGGCTTATTTCACTGACTTTTAGATATAGCAGTAATCAACTCAAGGCTAGGATATAAAAGAACTGCTGAAAATTTTGACGTACCCAAAAAACACATCCTACATCTGATACACTTTCGACAAAACTTGACTTAAGCCCTTATATTACTTGCTAAATTGCGTGCGAGGAAAGGAGGAAGATCTACAACAAAAGTCCTTCTTTCAATGGTTCTCTGATTTCTCTCACAACAAGTAAACAACTAAGACCTGTGACAGATATACGTTTTGATAATTTGTAAGCCGTTTCCCCTATTTTATGATAAAATAGGACGGTACAAAGAAGCCTATTATAGATCTTGCACATACATAAAATTCACAAAATGAAACTCATCCCTTTGTATTAGTAGAGATAAAAAACTGTTTTCATTCATACTAAATAAAAAATTGTATGCAAACCTGTTGTCTTTTTTCTTTTTATCATTTTTTATATTGAACTCCTTCCTTACTATGTACCTCCTACTTATTATGTTCACCATACTGTAAATGGCTGACCTTGCATACCCAAGGACACAGACATACAATTAAGTGTAAATTAATGTTCTAAATAGCCCGTACTGAGAAAACTCTAGTTTCCTAAAGTTTTCATAATTCATGGGTTAATCCAACGAAAATACAGTATGACCTTACACTTGCTTCAATTTTTCTGAGAAGTTCATATAATTCTGATTTATTCCCAAAGAAATGTTTACCATAGTCACCACATCATAGAACCCATAATATAGTTTTGATGTTGAATATTTTTTGGAACCCTCGTATTTTAGTATAATATGCATCTTATTGATTGATATTGTTGTTTATGCTTTATTTTACTCATGAAATTGTATCTCATAACGCCTTTAATAACAATATTATTGCGAATTAACTCGTCACTAATCGTTTATTTCTGTTTTTAATGTACAAATTACGTGATAGAGACAGTCGACTTAGAATATAAACGGCAATTAAAGCCAACGAACTAGACTGTATTGGAAATTACCTTAAAACAGACAGTGATAATGACATTATCAGAGTCATAAGTCCAAAAGTCTATTGATAAAAAAAGACCTCTCGATATTATTTACACTTATCGACAATGTATTGTTTTTTTAAATAATTTTAGAAATAATAAAAACTCTGGTATCTCTCCAAATGTTACATAATCAAAATTTAATCTGAACAATCGATGGAATCAAGCAGGTTTGTTTTGTTGTTTAACATTTCTCTTTTTTCTCTTTGACATTTAGTAGTGCTCTGTAAATGGATCTGTGCTCTGTGAAATTGGATAAACATGAATTACAGTATTTGGCTGATGATTTATGGAATGAATCAGATGTTGAAAAAGAACACTTTCAGAATAGTGGTTCAGAATCCGAACAAACTTCTGGCAGTTCTTCTAATTTGAATTTGAATGATAAATATTTGTCTGATAATGATACAGAAAGTGAGACAAATTTTGTAGCGGTTATATTTTGCCTACCACATTGGGTATCACTTATAAGGAATTGAAACTGGGGACAGAAATTACTGGGCTGGAGTTAGGGTAAGCAAACAAACCGAAACTTCTGCGAACGGCCACAACTGCGTGTCACTCAAGCTCCAAATTGGCATGAAGTGACCAGGGAACACGAAATAGATAATTATTTGGAAGTTGGACACTGGATTCGGGCTTCGGATTCACATTCAATTTGAGCTTAATTCACATCTCCACAAAAAATTTGCCGGCTTTTGAAGACTACACGCGCCGAAATATATCCTTCAAAATCACAATCCAAACTTAACTATTTTCTTTGTCTCGGTTTAGTCGACCTTTTTATGACATCCTGTATATTATACAGGATAGGTGCGAATAAAGTTCGCCAAATAAGCACCCCCGGAACAACTGAGGACATGGTATAGGGCAGCAGCTATGTCATTACTAACTCCAAGGCTGGGGAAGAATGACTTCTTAATAGGCTTGGAATCAGATACTTTTGGCGACAATCAGATATTGGTTTAATCGGTTATACTGCGGTGTGGAAGGCAAGGAGAAACCAACACACTAAATATTCTCAAGATATTGAGATAACTATGGCAAGTTACGGAAAACAAAAGGCCCCTAATCCGTGGCAGACCTTAGATGGTCAAGGGGTGCTAAGAATCCCCACGACAAATGCTAGGAACCACCCGAAAGTGGAAAACAAAAATTACAAGTTAAAAATTGGAACCTGGAATGCAAAATCTCTCTTTGTTCCAGGAAAATCTCATAACATCATGAGAGAAATGGAAAGAATGGGAGTCAACATTCTCGGAGTCAGTGAAGTTAGATGGCCTGGATCTGGACAGACAAACATCGATAACCATGTAATATACTTTGCTGGTAATGACGATCCTCATCATTATAACAGAGTGGCATTTATAGTTGACCAGAAAAGCAGTGAATGTATAAAGAACTTTATACCTATATCTGATAGAGTAGCTATGCTGCAAATTAATACCACTCCTCGTAATATTAACTTTATTCAAGTATATGATCCTACAGCAGAAAAACGAGAAAGAGAAGTACGAGAATTCTACCAAGAAATTAAAAAGCTAATGATGATCATTACGAAAAATGCTGTAAACATTATTATGGGAGATTTTAATGTCAAAGTAGGTGAAAGGCGGACCGAAGACGTAGTAGGAAACTTTGGTTTGGTTCAAAGAAATGATAGAGGAGAAATACTGCTCCAATTTTGCCAAGAAGGAAGTCTAATGTTCGCAAACACCTGGTTTAAACAACTAAACAGAAGATTATATACATGGAAAGCACCTGGCGATAATCAAAACTGCATAATAAGAAACCAGATTGATTATATATTAATTGACAAACGTTATAGAAATAGAATCAGGGGAGTTAAAACATATCCCGGGGCGGACATCGGTTCCGACCACAATCTTGTTGTTAGTAAAATTTCAATTAAACTAAAGAAAATCAAATACAAAGAGAAAATAAAACCTAGCCTCGAAAAACTTAAAGATCCAATATTACAAGCAGACATAGAGAAGACACTCAATGATACACTCAAAGAAAAGTTCAGTGAAGCACCTGCGGAAGCAGAAGAAACAATAGAAAGTATTTAGCACTTCTTCAAAACAACAATCACAACTATACAAAGAGAACAACTACAAGACAACATCAGAAAAACAAAGAATACATGGATGGCAGAAGAAGTCCTAGAACTGATGGACGTAAGGAGATCTTACAAAAATCGCAATGAAGAAACCCAGAGAATCATCCGAAACAAAATCAGGAAAGCCAAAGAAGAATGGATTAGCAACAACTGTAAGAAACTGGGAGATTTACTAAAAAAGCATGACTACTTTAATGCATACAAAAAGATTAAAGTCACAAATATGAAGAAAAAAATCACTACAACAACTTTAGTAGATGATAACAACCAAATAGTATCTAGTCCAGAAAAATACATCAAAGATCTGTTTGATGACGAGAGAACAGAACCACAAATGAATATAGTACAAGAAGCTATACTTGATATAGTAACATCGTAAGTTACAAAAATAATCCATACGGCAAAGCCACGAAAAACCTCAGGTCCAGATGAAATATACGTAGAGATGATAAAACTTATTAATGAAGAAAATCTTCAGACGTTAACACTATTATTTAACAAAATATATATACCAATGGAATCTTCCCAGAAGACTGGCTTAGATCGACATTTATACCTATACCCAAGAAAAATAAAGCAAATGCATGGATTTTTAACCTATTTTTTTTTCATGGAAGCCGTTTGTTCTTCTATTCCATTCAAAAGTCATAAAACATTGCATGAAAATCTTCACGAGTTAATTTCACCTTTCACCAAAACAGAATTCTCAAGTGACAAGACATATGAAAGCGCAGATATAAGAGGGACCAATGTTCCTATCAGGCGCTAGGGATTTAGAACAGTAGACTCTGTTCGTTTTTATTATTCCTGTTAATATTCATAGCTTTTCTTATTTGGTTTGATAAACACACCAAAAAACAAAAAGAAATTATCCGAGGTATATCAAAAAAATTAAATAATAATTTCTTACCTAAGGTATTTTTAATAAATAACTATGTTTTCATATTAACCATGTCATATTTCTTATTTCAGGCTGTTGTACTAGAAGGGAAATATTGGAAACGAAAATTAGCAGCAGTAACCGCAGAGTACAAACGATGGCGCATGTTTTACAGGAACAATATTCTGGGACACGTTACCAAAGATGTCACAGATGCGGTAAATATTTACCTAAAAAAATAATCCTAACACGTAATTATAAATACTTCTCTTCTAGTTATTGGATATAGATCTAGGGGAATGGGACACTATGACGGTAGACAACATGATGGTGGATGAGGATTACATGGGAATGATGAGTGATACTTTATTTTCTACTATTGCCAATCAACCATTTGTCTTCCCAGACCCCAGGGAAATGGGTAAGTTGGTGGTTGTATACAACTTGTAGTGAATTCGTATTTAAGCTTTTTAAATAAAATTGATCCAAAATTGATACAAATGATTTCAAAAATGCATTTTTCTTCTTATGTTGTAAAATCCAGTTGTGTTTAGCTGTGTAGTAGCTCCACTGCATACATATGTGTTATCTATGTACAAGAGTACAAAGATAATTCAAATCTATAGTTTAAAGTCGACTCTAAATGTCTTAAGGGCAGATGAATTGTACTATACAGATTACGATTTCGTGGTTTGTCGGGGCCTTTTGATTAGCGAGAACCGAACCTATATAATTCGATACTTAAGATGGATACTTTTATCACTGTGCTACCTCAGGGAGCTTACATTGCAAAATTGATTGACTAAACTTTTCTAGGCATGATAGATTTAAGTATTACCTAATAGCATAACATTATTTTGGTTCAATCATCCAACATCATTCGTACTGAGGTTTCAGATTGTTTGAGATGGCAACAATTGACAGATTTTAAACGACATCATCCGGCCCATGTCAGATGATTGCTTCATCACACAAGCAATCATACAATTTGCAAGGTTTAAATCTTTTTCGCTAGGGAGCATCAGTTTAACCAGCACATTCACTGCGATTGTTTTACCTAAGACTATCTCACAATCCCACCTTTCTCCCATCTAGCCCTCGCATTAAAACATAATATACTTCGCCGTATCTTCATACCCTCCTTGGTAAGGTATGTCTTCTCCTTGCCGTTTCAGATAAGAGCCGAAACAACGATGCCGTATGGACACCTGAGTGAAATGATAGTTTACTTTTCCGTGGGCATGAGCATCCTATGTCTTAAGGTTAGTGATAAGACACGGAGTCCAATCAGTTTTTTCACTCTTTCGTTAATCAGCTATACTATTAGTCTATAGCTTATACTATTCATTGATATCACTCTTTAGCGTTTTCGATCCCTCTATATCCCCTTTTGTCTCCAAAGATTCTTCCTTTCCACAGTCATCGTACCTATTAGTGACACCCCAGCACTGTCACCGCATCAGGTCACACAGAACGTATCCTCTGGACTACTTTATTAATTTTGGAGTTCTAGACTTCTCGATATCAAAGATCTCCATATATGCCTGCACTCGATTAAATTTATTCAAATATAATTCACAAATTATTACATCACGTAAATTTTGCTATATTGGCAACATTATTTTGACAACAAATTGCATTAAAATAGCATGAAAAATAGAATATATTATTCTAATTTTTGCAGAGATATTGCTTTAAAATTTTGGCAGATGATGTGGACCTAGTTGCCCGCACAACACGCAAGCTAGAAGAAATGTATACCACCTTCTCAAATGCCTCAAAATCTATGGGCCTGCAAGTAAATGAGGAGAAAACTAAGATGAAGACACCCAATAATAGAGTCAGGAACATTGGTCCCCATTTATTTATTTATTTAGCGTATGGCTACATCACAGGTTCATATAAATATAAATATATAAATGATATAAATTACAAACAACAGTAAATATAAAAAAATATTATTCTACAAACAAACATCTAGATTATAAATATACTCGATTGACTCTTTTGTAGCAGCCAGGAAATCTGAAGGGTTGCCATTATAGGATCTAATCGGGCATTCCTCTACCATGTGTTTTACTGTTTGCCTTTCGACGCCGCAGTCGCAATTTGGTGATTGTATTTTTCCCCATCTAAAAAGTGAGTCGGAACATCTGCCACAGTTCGTCCTTATTCTATTGAGTGTGGTCCAAATTCGTCTCGGTTGGTTGAAGCCCTCAGGTTTGCTTGTAATACATGGCATGTTCCAGTTAGCTGGTGCAGCGTTATTCTCCCATTGTTCTCTCCACCGTTCAGTTACATTAAAGTTTTGATCTACTAGCCTTTTTGCTGTTTTTAGAGGCGGGTGTCTTGAACGGAGCCTATTTATGTCTCTGGCGGAAGTTCCGACATGGGAGCGGAGCTCAGGATCAGTATTGATTTTTGTAAATTCTCTGACAAGGGCATGTTCCCGGCGGATGGGTGGTGGAGCTATATGACTCAAAGCTGGTAACCAGTAAGTGGGCGTGGCCTTGATTGTGCCCGATATAGTTCGCATGGCTTGGTTGAGTTGGACATCAACACGGTGAGTATGTGGACTGTTTATCCATACTGGTGCACAGTATTCCGCTACGGGGTATACCAGTCCTAATGCTGTCGATCTAAGTGTGGGTGCTGAGGAGCCCCATGTAGTGCCGCAGAGCTTTTGCAGGATGTTGTTACGAGTTCGGAGTTTTGCAGCAGTCTTAGTAAGATGCTCTTTAAAGTTCAGCGTTCTATCAAGTGTAACACCTAAGTATTTTGGGTGTTTATTATATTTAAGGAGTCTATCCCCAAAATTGATTTGAGGTTGATAGTTGGCCATCTTGTTATATAAATGGAAGCAGGACACTTCTGTCTTAGTTGGATTGGGTTGCAATCTCCATTTTCGGAAATAATTCCCTAGGGCATTTAAATCGTTTGTTAAAATGCGTTCAGTGACCTCGAATTCTTTATGACTTGCGGCAAGCGTCCAGTCGTCTGCGTATCCAAACTTTTTTGATGTGGTTTCTGGCATGTCTGCTATATAGAGGCTGAAAAGCAAGGGGGCCAGCACGGATCCTTGTGGAAGTCCATTATTCAGTTTTCTTTGGGTACTAGTCTTGTCTCCCAATATAACTTTAAAGCATCTGTTGGATAGCATGGCGTTAATAACCTCAGTGGTCTTTCTGCATGGGATTATTCGCATTAATTTATATATCGGTCCCCAATTCACAGTTGATAACTCTACCTTTGAAGTGGTGGACAAATTCACAGACTTAGGCTCCCTGATCACCAAAGAGAACGCCATAACGGAAGAAATCAAGCGAAGGATAATAATGGTAAACAGATGCTATTTTGGACTGAGTAGACATATGAAAAGTAGAAACTTAAGCCAAAAAACAAAAATAACCATATACAAATCCCTTATACAGCCAGTGTTGACATATGGATCGGAGACATGGACCATCTCCAAGGCAGACGAAGACCTTCTGCTTATATTTGAACGAAGGATCCTGAGAGGAATATTTGGTGGCATCTGTGAAAATGGTGTTTGGAGTAGGAGATACAACTACGAGGTATACCACAGATATAAACAAATATTTGGTGGTAAAGACGTAGTATCTCTTATAAGAATAGGAAGACTAAGATGGGCAGGACATCTAGCAAGATCACAGCAGAACAACCCTCCTAAAAGAATCCTTATATCACAACCCGTGGGAAGTAGAAAAAGGGGTAGGCCAAAACTCAGATGGAAGGATGGTGTAGATGAGGATGGTAGAAAGATAGGCGCAACAAACTGGCAACGGTTGGCAATGGATAGGACTGCATGGCGTAATAGACTTGGGAAGGTCGAGGCTCTTTCATAGGGCTGTAGTACCATTGATGATGATGATGATTGCTTTAAAATATATTGTGGGCATCCTGAGTTACATAATCTGTCTTCCGTACTGCATAATCTGCTGGTAGCGGTCTTTGAAGACAGTTAAATGAAAAAGGCGGTACAAGACCACACGAGGCCTCTTTTAGGGCGAGGCGGGGGCCGCTTCGTCGCCAGTTAGTAGTTGTCTAGTTTATTAAGTAATGTTTAATGATATATTACAATCCCAGAAAACATTTATTAAATCCAATATCAACGGCCTTTTAATATTACATTCTTTATTTGTAAATCTCTCTTTGGACTTCACAGCCTAACCAAAAAAATATTTATACTATGTACATGACATTTGACATTGACATTTGATATAATATTTTGACCATAATTTGTTTTTATTAGCCAAGGCAGGAATAGCAGACTTTATACAACCCAGTTTAAATCCATTACAGCCAAATTTGGAGGATTATATGGATTTGGATCCCTTTCCAGGTAAGAATTTAGTAACGAAATAACTATTTTAATTATTAGATTACTGATAAGTAAAGACCGGAATATAAGCATGACAAAACGGTCAAAATAAGCACAAAAATTTTTGTAAAAATATTTAAAATATTTCTTAAATAAGCAAGTTTTGTGAAAAAAATTGCTGTAGCACATAATAAATAAAAAAAAAACAAGCAAAAAAACAAATAAAAACACAAAAACAAGTAACAAATATATAAAAAAATATATTTGTTATATTTGGATTTTATTTTGCGTAATAAATACGTTTTTTTTTTTAATTTTAATTAGCCGATATCTCTTCTGAACATATGATTCTATAATTGTTTTAATATTGTTTTTAGAATTAATTAACAGCAAACTCGCTACAGTACCTGAAGAAACCCCCACATCACAACAGTCTATACTTTGGGGATACATGGATAATAGTTTACATAGTCCGGAATCATCGCTGGAGGTAAATATTATAGTTATTCTAAATAATAATCGAAATAATCAAATTAAATCTGTCTGACATGATTATGCATATGCAGCTTATTTCACGCTTTATATCACAGAGCTATTATTATTTGATAAATTTTGATATCGGAATATGAACCAAGTTTAAAATCATTTAATGTTATATTAGCCCAAAATAGCGAAGAGCCTCGAAGTGCATAGATGATAGAAAAAGAACTACAAGACGGAGATGCACATCTTTAGCAAATGCAGAATATTGTTGCCAAGTCTAGTCCAATAATTGTGTTATAACTATTTTATTTACAATGAGAATACAATTTCTAGTAACCCACTCATTCTTCTTCTTCTGGTTCCTATCCGTTTCGGATGTTGGAAATCATATTGGCAATCATAACCTTGCTCACTGCGGCTCGAAACAGCTCCGTTGAGGTTTACTTAAACCATGTTCTTAAATTCCGCAGCCATGATATTCTCCTTCTACCAGGTCCGCGCTTACCTTTGACTTTACCTTGCAATATAGACTGTAGCAGGGACAATCTTTTCTTTAACTTACTGCTTTTCTAATGTAAATATCGTTATGAAAATTACTAAGTTCTCTGAAAGAACCGCGTTGAGAATTTAAAATTCGACCTTTCGGCACCTAATTTGGAGTCATTATCAAGAGGGATATGGTTCCGTTCGAGTTCGTGGTCTAAATCTGCCTGCTCCTCAGTGTCGTGTGACGACCGGTGTTACCCTGTGTAGCTGCTTTTTTACTCTCCGTATGCACATTAATGGTATATGCGGAAACGCTTTGAGCGAGATCGGTTGAGGCAAGGGTCGCTGAAGCAGCGGTTGTCATGTTGCCAGCAGTCTTTTAGCGTCATCGCGCGTGTTTAAGCTGCTAAAGGGTTTTTCAATTTCGATGGCTTGACGAATAATTCTCGATTTAAGGAGTGGATATGAGCGATCGTTGTTTCTTTTTCGAAATGTATATGACGTTGGTGTAGTGCTGAAGTAGCATCGGAATGTTTTACAGGTATAGAATGTTCGTAAATACGGTTGTGGATTCGTCAGTTTGTCCTATGTATGTACATATGTAACTGGAACAAGGTATCTTCGTAGATACCATGGTCTTCATTTTGGATTTGGTCTTTTACGGATCTGACTAGATTTGACAACTTGAAGATGATCGGGGTTAAGAGTTGTACTGATCTTGTTATTGACACCTTTGATTAAATTTAGAAAGATTTTCGGTTGATCAGTTGAGGTTTTTCTGGATCAGGATAATGTAAATTATAGTGAGAAAACATGCTTCGTTATGACCCAGGGAGTTTTTGTTAAAGTGTTTTCCACCTAAGAAGACCTCTTTGCACTTAAATGCTGGTAACTGTATTACTAGCGTACCAGATAAGCGCGATATATTTTACACTACCTTTATGAATAACATTTTACTTCTCTGTTGTTTCAATCCGTACTGCTCAGCAAGTTAACGTTTATTGGTTTTAATATTTTATTGCAATAGTACGAGTATGGAATATGTATTTAAGCAGTGAATTATGTGCCATAATAATTGTAATCTCCTTTATACACACTTTAAAAATGTGTTTAGTAATGTATTTCATAAATCCACACAATCATTGAAAAATGATTCATGCTATTTAATTTTCTGTTAACGATACGGTTATTGACAAAGTAGATCAAATTCAAACTTGTCATCATATTACACTTCTGTTTATCGTTAGAAATTAATTGATGGAGTTAGGTTGTATTGGTGTTATTTAATAATTTAGCAAAATACATAATCGACAAAAATCTTATTTAAAACATGCCAACGGTTTTTGCAATCACAATCAATGCAGTGTCTATGCTTGTTTACCATTGGCTGGAGAGTGCTGAACCATTTAGGTTTTCGATATAAAAAGACAAATAATAGGAAAGTATTGTGTGAACTCTCTAATGTTTTTTCAAAACGGTGGCATTTTTTAAGAAAATACATGAACAATAAAACGTCTGATAGTCCGAGGCAAGTTGTATTTTTAGATTAAACTTGGATTTTCGCTAAAGGAAATATGTTAAAATCATCCTGGCAAGATGGCATCACGAAATGTTATTATTCTAGTCGTTTGGGTAATGGTAAACGCTACATTATACTTCATGCTGGAAATGATGAGGGTTTTATTCCTGACGCTAGTTTAATTGTTTCGGCCACAAAGAATACCGGTGATTACCATGGAAATATGGATGCAAATATTTTTGAAGAATGGTTTAAAGAAAATTTGTTAAAATAATTGGAGCGACCATCTTTAATAGTGTTAGATAATGCATCCTATCACTCAAGAGTAGAAGAGAGATTTCCTTCAAGCAGCTGGCCAAAAGAAGAAATAAAGCTGTGGTTGACAGAAATCAAAACTTATCATAGTGACATATTTTTAAAAGTCGATTTACTTCAAAGGTGTGGAGAGCACAAAATTCAAAAGAAATTTGTTACTGGCCAAATGGCTCTTAAATATGGCCATGAAGTTCTTCGACTTCCACCCTACCATTGCCAGTATAATATAATTGAGTTAGTTTGGGGTATAGCCAAAAGTTTATATAATAAACATGCATCCAAGACAACAGATGACGCTAGCGTTCTTAGTTTATGGAAAGAATCGCTAGAACAAATAAAGGCAGAACAATGGCAAAATTGTATTAGACATACGGAAGACATAATCGTTTAGTTTTTTCACACCGAGCGAGTTATAAATGAGATCTGGCCTCTAATTATTCGGATAGGCAATTCAGATAGTGAAATATCAGACAGTAAATAGGATAAATCGTTTTCTAAAAACAAGTAACAAAAAAGTGTTTCGGGAATTCAATTCGGATTTGTGGTGTATTCTAGTTAAACGATAAAGTACCTTTGGTCTAATTACTGGTCTGCATACTCTCAATAGCTTTGGTATGAATTACTGGACTACACGTGTTTAAACCTTTTGTTTTCCTGAAAAGTCGAAAGTGATTTAGTGCCAATTTGTTTCAAGATTATATTTAATACAGTGTCTGCAGAAAGTAAAGTCTTGGATGTATTTTATTCAAATTTGGACCTACTGGCTTGGCAAGTATTTTCCAATTTTACTGCATTCAAAACCATTCGTATAATTTTCACTATACGCAATATAGAGACTTATAGAGACCTTGATGAACATTTGATGTCGACAAAAAATTTCGAGTATTCGAAATATTCCGTCCCATTTCTTTTAAGACGCCCTGTATATACATATTATATTCATTTTATTTGCCTTTGATACAGTAAAATCCAATATTATTACTGAACATAAAATACAGGAAATTAAATATTTTTACTTTTCAAGCGATCGAATTAAATATTAACGCCCCACCGTTTGAGGCCCACTGATCATATCTTAATTGCATATCGGCCGTCATAGGGTAAAAGGACTTTATTTACGATTGGATTGTATAAGTAGCTAGAATATTGCGTGATATTCTAACCAATTCTAGATGTTTATAAAGCATTAATTTAAAATTCATGTAAAATGTTTTGGTTAAAAATATAAATAATGAATGTAACATAATTACTTTAAAAAACATTTTATAAAATATTTTTTTATATATATTTCAGGTGCACAGCATAGATCCTTCGATTCAAGTTAACCCTTACCAGTTATCCCCTGGTCATCAAGTCCAGCAAGTACCACAGGTATCTGTGGTTGAGAGAAAACCACAACAGCAGTCTCAAAACTTATTACCGAATAGATACAACGACATGGTGTTACCGCAGCAACAACAGTATCCTGTATCACCGCCATCTTATCAAACTGTGATCTCTAAAAACAATATTCAGAAGCCACCAAAAACTAATTTGGTATATAGTAAATCATTGGATAATATTTATCCGGCATATTCACAACAGAATCCTGTTGGACAAAGTATAGATCGAGTTTCAAGTAAGTAGAATGTTACGTGATTAAGTAAGTTGTTAAATCAAGTATAAATCGGTAATCAATTGCGGTATTTGTAAGATAATCAAAGATTCCAATTCGATTTCTCTTAACCCTTTCACTGCTACATTTTGATTTAAGAAATGCCCAGAAGCTGCTATTTGTTTTTATAAAAAATAAAAATGTTTTATTGAAAAAGTCTTTTTTGAATTAAGGGATGTAAAATTATTACTCAGATGTCAATTTGACATGTGTCACGGATCCGTGCCATGCGCACTGGTCAAAGAAAATTCTATGCAGTGCTCGTCGACACGGATCCGTGACAAATACATTGTTGTGAGTGGTTTAGGCTAAAATTTATGTAGAAAAAACTTTCAAGGATGCTAAGAAAATCTATATTTTGTTAATAATCAGTACATAAAACGGATCCGTGCCATGCGCATTAAAAGGGTTAAATAAAATAGGAACTGTGACCTAACAAAGAAAAATGATTCCATAATTATATTAAAGAAACCTGTGGATGTAGGAAGACTGTATAGACACTTTAGTAAATGCTTTATAATAAAATAAGCAGTTATTATAAAAAAAGTAGCTTTTGTTTTGTTTACTCTACACGTGTTTAAATACCCTTGTTGTTAATAGTATATCAATTCGGACAATATTAATATTTATAAATATTTTAATATTTCTAGTGAGTAATGCATCACAAATAACTCAAACCTCTTCACAATAAGATAAACCCCAGCAAAATACAAAAAAGTCAATTCAGACAATATTAATATGAATAAATCTTTCAATATTTCTAGTGAGTAATGCGTCACAAATAACTCAAACCTCTTCACAACAAACTCAACCCCAGCAAAATCAGCCACAGCAACAGCAGCAGCAACAACAGCCTCAAATACAAAAATATCTTGGTTTTAAATTAGTTCCAGTTCCATCTCAAGATCCAAACCAGGGTTATAAATTTTCACTTATGACCACGCCGACTATCAAATTCACCACAACTCAACAAGCACAACAGTCGATGATCCAAAATTATCCTGGTTTGCCTCAATATTCGAGTGTTCCTCGACCTCCAACTGTAAGTAAATTATTACAATTTTTTGGATTAAATACTTTATTCTGTATTATCTTTATCCGTGTTATTTCTTAGAATGAAGATAAACAACCGAGGAGACGTGGAGGAACGAGAGGAAGGGGTAGATCTCGATCAAACACTAGGGAGCCTATAAAAAAGCCGCCCTTAGTTTCAGCAGCTAGTGATCCATCTCTACTGACACCACAGAATAGTGTCATATTGACACAATTGTTAACCAATAGTAAGTATAAATTACAACTTCTACCTATAACGGCCGGTTTCACAATCAGAGGTTAACCCTAGGAGTTAAGTAACCTTTACCTCTAGTTTAACTGACAGATGCCGTTTCACATTCACAGATTCGGTTATGGTCACTTAACCTTAGGTTTCGTTTTATTTTTCTTATGTTGGTAGGAAATTATGGACAACAATCAGATGTTTATGAAATATTGTCAGTAAATATTATGGACATTGACCAGTATAGATGAGTTATGACACATTTGTCACGTTAGATCGAAAACAATATACGAATATTATTCTCATTTTCAAGTTCCGTTTTAGTGTGGCAGTTGGTTCTAAGTAGTCGTTGTTTGTTCTTTCAAGTTAAAATTAAAATTATAAAATAAACCAAGAAAAATATTCAAGAGATCGGCAAACTTTTCGCCAGAAGAGGAATAATTACTAATTTCCTTATACATGAAATAAAAAATTTAGAAATTGTATATTTAATTTGCTTCAAAATATTTTTAACTGTGTTCCTTGAAAATCTAAACCTTCATAATCTAGTTCTTCAAAATGATTTGTTCTGTGCCTAATGATTCTTGGTCTTCCAGCTTCCTTATCACTGCTAAAAACATTTACATCATATAAATCCATATCTGATTAATTAATAATTGATGTGTCTGTCTACACTCTGCCACAGAATAATAAACAATCAGAAGGGCCACTCTCAGATGCCGCCTTTGAAGTTTTTCAGCACGCGCGCCATGTTTTAGGAGGACACAAACATATGATTTGTGAGGTTATGCAATTGTTTACATGTATGTTTAATTATATTATATTAATGTTATTATATTTAAAACTGTTAATATAATTGTATAGTATGTCTATGATTGCCGTAAGTCAAATAAACCTGGTTTTTTTTTCATGCACAGCACATAAACAACACTGGTTCCCTTTAAAATCCTCGTAAAACATGGCGGAACGTCTGCGCGAAGGAGATGCGCGTACTTAATTTTCCGTGGAGAGTGGGCATTCTGTTTGTTTATTATTCTGTGACTCTGCCAATGTCAACAAAACGAAATTCGAAATTAGGTTAGGATATCCTGGTCAAGCTCTAAACCACCGCTTTTACTTTGGGTTAAAAATTTTGTAGGTTAACCACAACCCGAGCTGTTGACCTTATATTGTGAAACCTATATTTTATGGTAACCGCTGGTTATCTCTTAACCGCAAGGTAACTTTACTTTGTGAAACCGGCCGTTAGTTTTATAAAAACCAAGTGAATGTTTTGTGAATAGTTCGTTAGTGTGTCGCTGGTCCATCAAATGTTTGCTTGGTCGTTTCATGAATTAGTATGCTGTTCTGCGCAAGTCCGAAGTTAGTAAAACCGACAGTTCTTAAGAATTTTTCTATTAAAGATGCCTTGTTACAGCCTGTTGTTAGTCAGCACATTTCATTCAGGATTACATCATCTTTTTGTCATGTGTTGGTCTGGACCAGACCAGTCAGGCATACTTTGCCGTAAAATAGCAAATCGCACTGCTATTTAAGACGGTCAGTCTGGCTACCCACCTGTAAGGATATTGTTATGTCTGCCACTTTCTTAGGTGCTTTCTCACAGTGGAATCTGTATTTGATCTGTATGAAATTGGAGATTATAGGATATTAAATGAGATGGAGATATGTAATGAGTTAATAAATATTTATATTAAATTGACATATTGTAAATATATTTCATAGATTTTCTTTACCTTATTTTGTTATTTCAGACACAGAACCTGCAACGACTGTTTATAATCGTAGTATAAGTCAAGGTAATCTTGAGATGCTTCCAGGTTCATTACAAATCAAAGAAGAATCAAATTCGATACCTATACTACCACAGCCTTCAACCACTACACTAATTTTACCCGCCCAAGTCAATATGACCACCGCACAAGCATCTTCAGATACGGTAAGCATGTTTTAATGTTCTACAATTATTACTAATAGTGGATAAGTACTATACAGTTTAAGAAATGTAAGTATCTCATTCCACCTCCAAATCTATATTGGTCATGGGTCAGTTCTTCTTCGCACATTTATAACCTGTTGTGAATCTTTAGTAAACTTCTGAGTGCTTCACTCATACGTTAGGTCTATGACCTGTGTTTACTGGATAATTCGTGATTTTTGAAGTATATTTAGTAAAGGTTTCAGTGCTTCACTCATACGTTAGGTCTATGACCTCTATTTACTGGGTAATTTGTGATTCCGAACACCAGCTGTCTTGCCATTTCTTTGTTAGTCTCCCTGGGAACCTTCTTCCGTTTGGTTTCCTATTTCTTACAATTTTTACAATTCTATCTTCTCGTTACATAATGACTCCAATTTCTGGTTCGTTCTCTTTCCAATCTGACCATATCTTGGATATCACACCGATCCCGTCTAGATTTCCCTAGGTTAATGTCTTCATCTTAGCTATTTTTAGGGCCTGTTTTTATTTATCTTGTTTTTATCATTTAACGATGGCACCGTCATTGCTTGTCAACGACTGGCCATCTCTCTGTATGCCCGCACTCTCACCAATAACCTACCACTACCATCGATGCGCACTCAAAATAGAATACTGACAAAAAGTGTAAAACGCCGTGAACAAACGACAGAGAACCAAATTCGATCCGGATTATTGTACTGGTAAGAGCTTTTACCTCCGGGTATCTGAGTACTGATCAGTGGCCTACGTCCGTTTTTCCCCATACCTGCGATGGAGTATTGATCAATCGCTTCCGTTCCTCACCTGAGTCGAGTATTGATGATCGATCGTTTCCGCCCCACCTCTCTTTGCAATGCTGAGTATTGATCGGCCACAGTCGTTGGGTATTGACTGCAGATTTTCCTTTGTCTTACCCATCCAAACGCTGCACATACATAGATTTTAGATATTTAGGCGGCCAAAAGTCATTTTAAAAAGTCGAAATAACGATAAGCTATCAACCGTTCCAGTGAGTCAACAGTTCCAGCTACAATATAACATCCCCACCACCAGCGACCGAAGCGCAGGCGTTGGCCTCCGGGCATTCGAATTCGACAGTGAACGAGTGTGTTCGTGTTAGTTTTCGACTCTCTCCTAACTTTCTTAAGTGCATTATTCATTTCAAGCTAATTGTTTCGATTTAATTGTGATGGATTGCGATAATACAGGTGACAACTATTGTTTTTGAAAACAAAGTAACTCAGTTCACATTATCTATCATTAATTTTTACCACGACTAACATCACCCTGTTCATAATGTATTTGTTTACATAAATTTATATTCAATAACTGTTTTAAAGTACTTCTTAGTCCGTCCCTGTCATAATTTTTGTTATAATATATACTTGACATATGTAACTAAGTAATTCTATAAAAAACAGCCGCGCAAATTCGCGCTTTTTTGAGCTAAGCCCCTTTGAAATGCTCTATGTTAAATATATCAAAATATTGAGTTTGCGTTATTTTATATTCAAGTCTACCTACTGCATCGATACTAAAGATACTAAAGATGTCTTCAAACAAAGATATTCGAATATAAATAAAATCACAAATTAAGCAACCAAGGGCAAAAGCAAATAAACACCTAGATGTTTTTCTGAAAAAAAAAGACCAATCGTGGTTAGAGGAAACATTCGAGATTCCCATTGAAACATCTTTCACTCAAGGTTGACCACCCAAGTCTTGTGCAGAATTAAGTGAGCGTAGTAAACGAATAAAAACGGAAGAAATAAGGGCTTCGGTAGGTAATGAAGATATTGTCCACGCTGCTAAATCTGTGTTGCATACAGCAGGACATAGGACCGCCTCAAAATTGCTAAACGATATTACGAACTCACCGACACGGACCAGTAAATATAGAAAAGCCTACAGTAAAGTTTGCGACAAGGATGAACTACCTCCATTGACGCCTCTGCAAGCACTTAAGATGTTAGTTGAAGCTGAGCTATCGAGACGACAGTATGAGATAATAAGAGCAACAAATCCAAAACATTTCCCTTGCTATGAAGTCTTTAATGATTTGCAAATGGAGTTGTGACGATGCCCAACCATCCAAATTTAAACAAAGTTACAATAATGATACTGATTCAGATGCTAACATTTTTATGAGTTCGTTTGTACCTTACATTAATTGGCTTGCTTTCTATCTGTAATTTTATTATTCTTTTCAATCTAGGTATTACGTTTGTAATGTACGTCATTAGGCGGCTTTTTATGAGGATACCTACTCTATGCCTATGCTGAGGATCTTGTGTGTCATTTCCTGAGTAGTAGAAACTGTATCCAATATATCAGATATGTAAATGTTACATTCCCATTATCGTGCCATCTCGTTTCCCTGATATCCGTGATGTATATTTTCATTTCCGTCATTTCAGTGGTCAGGTTTTCGAGTTTTTTCGCAAAAAATTGTGTTCATATATTCGCCTTGTTAATCGCCGATCCCAAATTATATGGCACCTAGGAATGAAAGATCTGATAGTATGTCCAACTTTCAAATTAAAATAACTGTGCATACTTTTCGAAAAAGCAATTATAGGGTTCCAAACAATTCTTTATTATTAAACACACTCGGTTTTAAACAGTTTCTCTCTAATACATGAAATGAAATGACATTAGTAATAATTATTTACTGATGATTCACATCTGCATTTAAATATAAAAAAAACAATCAGTTCTGGCTCTTACGACTCCATTGACTTGATGAAAGCTCGTTACCTTTAAGAACCCCATAATTGACCAAGAACAAAAGCATTTAATGAGTCATTAAAGTGTACAAAGAAGAAATAAAACTAAGTTCTTGTTATCTCTTATTTCAGTGTACTGACATTCACGGCCTTTAAAATGATCATTTCTTGTATACCATACCATAAAGCCGAAGGAACGGCCTTAAGTCTATATTTTTTGACAGGTTTTATTTATTACTTATCAGCTTATTAAGAAATGTATGAACAGTCCTATGTTCAGAACAGTATCCAATGAGTACTAATTTATTAGTTTACGATTCTAACTGTATTTATACTTTTCAGATGTTACTAAGTTCGTATAGTAGTTCAAACAGCCCTGTGATGGACCCTCTGGCCCAAAGTATTCATTCACCCACTTCCTCACAAGGTTCAATCGGCTCTCCTGGTGGTGAAAGTTCGAGTCATCGGGACAGGAGATCGGTGCACATACATGCCGAACAGAAACGGCGTTATAATATTAAAAATGGTTTTGATATGATTCATTCTCTTATACCGCATCTTAATCAAAACCCTAATGCTAAGGTTAGTATATCATGCCATTTATTTGATTATGTTTTTAAATGTTAACTTTGAAGTAACTATTACTTCTAAATATAGTATATAAAATATTGAATGCAATAGTGAACACATTTTCTTTTACCATCTAACGTAGATCTTCTAAACAATAATAAAGAAAAAACTCAATTTGCTTGATTTTGCATGTTTACAGGTTCTTTAACTGAATGTTTATTGTTTTATGAAGATATGGTGACATCATAAGCAAATACTTATAGGAAGGTAGGTTTATTGTGTAGATTAAGAGCATTATAAGTTCCGCTATTGAATAGGAACTAATAGTTGTGATTTATTTTGGTTTTTATTTAAGCCAGTCGGTGTCGTACTAGACTTTGTCGAAGGCGTTCGTAACATCAATAACTACTTACTGGAAAAGGATCGTTTATGGTTTCAAAAGTTTTATTTTTGAAGATGATCCTTTTTAACATCAATCACCGTGTTTCGAGTGCATGTTAAAGACATCTGTAGCGGCTACATATGTGTTCGTTAAGTCATGTTAGCTCTTGCGCGACCTGAAAACCCTAAAAGTAGAAAACCCTAACAGTAACCGCCAGAAGGTTACACAAACTTGACTTTTTAATCAAGAAAATGCTCTTATGCTAACACGGGTACAGGATCAAAAATCCGACGACCTGACTCGGAATCTACGAATTTTAAGGGTTTGGAACAGCACAAATAATGCAAAACAAGATTTCAAACTCAAAATAAATATTATTAGGAAGGAGAATAAGTCAACAAGAGAGGAAGTAGGAATTGGAACAGACAACAATAGCTCTGAGAAATACTCGTACGATATTTCAATAAGAACTGCTAGGAATTGATTTTTTGTGTGTGCTTTGTTTTACACCTCAATTGAGCCAAAATATTTATTGATGAAGCTGCTCTAAAGACTGTGAAGTCTATGACTTATGAGTTGGTAACAGCTTGGAACTGACACTGGTCTTACCAAAGGAGTAGCAAATGCTCCTTTTATAGGAGCGCAGCCATTCTTATTTTCCAATTTTCCTTTGTCAAGATATTTTTGTACAGAAGTATTGTACTTATGAAAAAGGATTTTTTTCATTTCTAATTCGATTCTGCCCAGTTTTATAAGAAGCTGAGGAGAGTATTCTTCACTTATGGTTTTACTTTTTTAAGATATTCAATCAACAAAATTCCTTTCACATTTAATACATCGACGCCTTGACCTTCCCCACCGACCATACTAGTCTTATTTTTGAGCTGAAAAAACGACTTCTAACCACTGCTTAGGCTGCTGTTTCATTTCGTGTGTGTAGTGGTGAATTCATGTTTCCATCTAATTATCCAAAAAATCAGTTTTGTTTTTGCGCCAAGTATTTTTAGGAAATGTTGAGCGAATGCTTTTGTAATCCGAATATCTGGTGCACGTTACTTTTGGTAGTAACAATTCCATGTATTTTTACTCATATATGCAGTTATTCCAAAACTTCATGCACTTTATCCATGATTTCCGATGTGGTTGAAGTTTTTTGAATGTCCATCATCTTTTCAGTGCCAATTGCAGGTGAAGAGTTGTCATGTATATTTACAAACCTGCAAGGCTTATAGACCTTTCAAAAAAATTATCTTGCTCTACAAACCATGCCTTTGCAGCTTCTATAACCTATAACTTCTTGATTTACGTTGATTAAAGAGTATAAGTATATCTTCGTAAATTTTCTTACCTCTTAATCCCCTTAAATGCAGATACTTAATGATAAGATATTCTCCGTTTCTATGGTAACAAAATGCAAATGCAGGAAATAAGATGGACTGGGAGTGGCACCATTGACAAATAACACCACATTATATTTTATAGTTGCGACGCTAAAGACCACGTACTAGGTACTGGCTTTATTGTAAATAAAAAGGTTGAACACCTCGTAAGAGACTTTCGTGCTATGAACTCTAGAAAGTGCATCCTGAGACCAAGGGGAACATTTTTTAACTACAGCATCTCAAATGTGCATGCCCCTACAGAGGAAAAGGAAGACGATGTCAAAGAAAAATTGTATGAAGAACTAGAAGCTGCATACCATTCAGGCCCAAAGAATGGCATCAAAATTATTTGTGGTGATCTCAATTCAAAAATAGGAAAAGAGCAACAATACCTACCAACTATAGATAAAATCAGCCTTCATGAGGTATCCAATGACAATGGCATCAGACTAATAAATCTAGCAAGTTCCCTTAACATGGTCATTGCCAGCACATGCTTCCAGCAAAAAATATTCATAAGGGAACGTGAAAATCTCCAGATGGGGTTACAGTAAACATGATCGATCATGTTATTATTGACTCTAGTCATCTCTCAGATGTAATAAACGTATACAGCAGACGAGGGGCAAATGCAGACTCGGATCACTACATAGTGGAAAGTAGAATAAGAGCCAGAATCTCAAACATTAAAAAAGAAATGGGATCCAAAATTGAAAAATATGGAATAAAAAACTTAGCAGACAACAAGAGACCCTGAGTCTACAAAAAAGCTCAAATCAACTGAAGGACAGTGGTTCGATGAAGAGTGTCGTAACATAACAGGAAAAATAATGCATATCAACGACTACAACAACGACATAGAACACGAAAGGAAGAGGAGGAATATAGAATGCTAAGGAGGGAAGAGAAGAAAATACATCGCTGAAAGAAAAGAGAACATATAGAAAAAGAACTCCAAGAAATGGAAGAACTAATGAAAACCACAGAAAATAAAAAATTCTACCAAAAACTTAACAAAAGTAGAAAATAATTTAAACCAAGAACAATGATGTGCAGAGACAAAGAAGGAGATATAGTAACTCAACAGAGTGAAATACTACACTTAAATATTCTACTTAAATTAATAAAAAATACATCTATAATAAACTTTTTTATCGTATTCAAATTTATCTTAACCATTTTTATGTTTATTTGCAGTTAAGTAAGGCAGCTATGTTACAAAAGGGTGCTGAATATATTAGGCAGTTAAGGGATGAACGAAACCAACTTAAATCAGAAATGGAATCTCTTCGACAACAGATTGAAAGCCTTAATGCGGCTATAAGGTGAGCTTCGTTTATTAGGTATTATGTTTTACTGGACTGTTTATAAAGTATTTATGGACTGTTTATAAAGTATTTCAATATTTTAGCAACTGTCAGTCGATGTTACCCGCCACTGGAGCTCCGGTTTCTCGAAGGAGGGATAGCCGAATGCAAGAGATGTTTGAAGAGTATGTTCGAATACGTACTATGGAAAATTGGAAGTTTTGGGTCGTATCCTTTTTTTGCATATTTATAATTTTTTATTACTTACCAATTTTAGATTATGTTAATATGTCATTCAGTTTTGGAACTGTTTTAACTTTTTTTTTTGTTCGTATATCATGCGACGGTCGGGTTTTTGTTGTGTTATATGCTGCATATATTTAGTAACGTGGTGGTTTTTTTTAACTCATGCAAAAGTTCGAGCTCAGGAATGATGGAGTATTTATAACATTATTTTCGTATAAGTATTTATACTTTTTTCTCTACAGTAAAATGCAGAGGGAGCGTCACGGATTTAGCGTCACATATGGCGTCGTCACGGGTAACGTCACAAAATAGCTATTTTTACATCGATTTACTACACTCGATCAATTCGTTCCTAATTATCAGATACTTACTCTTTAGCAGGATTAAATTAAAAACTGCTATTTTATGACGCTACCCGTGACGAAGCTTCAAGGTTTATTTTTGAAAGTTTATAGTCGTTTATAGATTAGTATTCACAAATGAAAAATATTTTAAATTAAATTATTCCTTATACACTCCTATTATTCTTGTGTTTTCAATTAAATGAGTCTGAAGTAGTAAGTTTATCTGGGTTATTAATATTGAGAGGTAGGAATTTTTCTGTCGTATGTTTCCGATAATGAATCTGTCAAATTATTCTCAAGCTAAGACTATAACAACAATTCCTTTTGCAGTTCTTGGTTATGGTTACTGTAGATCGACGCAGGGCCCATTTATGAGCCCTTCAGACACTTAGACCTCCTAAAACGGGTCCATCATCCCTATCATATGGAATAGACCCGTAAAGATTCTGGGACCAGGCTGCTCCGGGCTTCCATATCTGCAATAATCAGCGGGGGCTATAGTCTGAGCATTTCCTACCGTTCTAAACGTCTAATCCTTTAGTAACCTTATGGTCTCACAGAAAGCTACAAGTTTTTTTAAGGGTAACTCCCTCATTTGGCTCGGTTGCATAAAAACCGAACCCAGGGTTTGCTACCTCTAGTAGGCCAGTGCCGGGCATTTCCAGAGGATATGTGAGGAGGTTATCCTCATTACAAAGACGGCACCGTGGGCCTTCCGCGAATCCAAGCAGATGAAGGTGTTGCGTAAGTCTACAGTGTCCGGTAAGCATACTGATCACCAGAGAAGATCTTCTACCGTCTAGAAGGAGAAATTGGGTTGTAAGACCAGTATGTGGAGCTTAGTCTGTCTCATATATCCTCAACTGGCCTGGAACGTCCGCAGAAGAAGCTCTTTGAGGCTACTTCGACCAGTACTGAAGGGCACTTGAATCACAGGTTCGGGTCCCACCGACAGAGTGAATGAGTCCTGTCTTGCCAGGAAGTTAGCTCGTTCATTCCATCTCACGTCTGTGCGTCCCGGTACTCATACCAAGTTAATCATATTGTCCTCATAACATCTGCAAGTGCTCTCTTGCACTCAAGAACCACCTTAGAACTGACTTTGGGCGCTTCCAAAGCCCTTAGCGCTGCTTGACTGTCAGAGCATATATAGATGGTCCTGTCTGAGCAAACTATATCTATTATCTCCTGAGCACATACCAGGATCGCAAAGATCTCGGCCTGAAGGACTGATGCATGGGAGCCGAGAGTTTATTTTGCAGTTCTTACATTCATCTATATTTTTTTGTCATATAACAATTAATTTAACAGTGATTGTGTTCAATTTTATGCGTGATAATTTCTCTCCTTTAGAATAATGTAATATCACGCTGGGTTATCCTGAGTATTAACCAGAAAAAAAGACACTTTATTATCTCCAAAATATGTTTAATCTGAATACTACGTAATGTTAGTCTAATGTTGTCTATTATATTGTATAGCTACTAGTCAATTGAAGAAAACCTATCTATACAGCTGATCATGCAGTATGGATGAATAAATGAATCTATATAATATTCGAATTTATTTTGAAACCAAATCAGTATATAAACATACAACTATTATAATACCTGCTTAGTATTATATCGTCAAATAATAAGGTTGGTTCGTATTGGAGTGTTCTGCCAATAAATCATATAAATTATAAATATCGATGTAACGGTTGAAGGCCTTTACACAGTATGTAAATTTTTTGTTTAATTTTATTAAATTATGTGTTCAATATTTACTGATATCTTCCTTAACAAGTTTTACAGTTTAGCCTTATTTTTAAACCATTATTAAATTCGTTTAATAATTTAGTTTCGAGTTCTAGTCTAGATGATTTATATCGATCTACAATGTTATGGATAGAACAACATTGTACCCTTACAGATCTCAGACCAGGTAATATTTTTATCATACTTTGTTACTAGAAAATAACCAAACAAAATTAATAATAATGTTAAAAAACCTGAGGTTACATTTTGAACAAAAAAATTATATTGCTTTGATCAATAAAACATTTTTAATATTTGATTACATGAACAATCTCTTTATAAGTTAAATTAGAAATTATAAATTATGGACACAAGACGACATACATGAGAAATATTTACTGATGTTTCTCAAACATTTCACAAATATCGTTGTTCATTCAATTTTTAAAGACTAATTGTATTTATCCACCGTGAAAATGTACATACCCTTATAAATTCTTTCTATTTTTGATTGTTATATGAAGCATTGAAATTCAAAGTTAGTTTGTACCATTTTAGACTTGAGGTTTTGAGAGTTCACATCTTGAAACAAGTTTAAAATCTACATTAAGTAGTTAATTACTAGTTACAGTATAGTAAATACTCAGTAGTTTCATTAATGCACTTGCGATTATGAGAGCGAATGTAGACACTTCAGTTTGGTTATTATTTGCTAACTGAATTAATTTTCTTTTCTTCTGAAAGAATTGACGAAAGTACTGAAAGAATCTAAAAATGATAAAGCATCCAAACAGATGTATTGCTTTAAGCTGATAGTTAAATTATTCATCAAATGTCTAAAAGGAGAAGATATCCCAGATGACTGGAATACGGGATACATCAACTCAAATTGCAAAAAGAAACATAAGAGGTTATGCTCTAAATATAGAGGAATAATGGTCACTAATGCGATAGGAAGATTGTACTTCCAAAAATGAAAGAACATGGTAGAATTAGAATACGATGATATAGAAGACCAAAATGGATTTCGTTCAGAAAGATCATGCATAGGCAACACATTTGCATTTCAACAAGTCATCGAGAAAATAAGGACACGAAACGTACAAACACACTTGTTATTTGTTGACTTAGAGAAAGCATATAAGAAAATTGGCATTAACGGAGTATATATGCGAGCTATTGCTAATATATATAAAAATTCAGGCACAGGAAAAAAGAACTTGCATATTAGAAACATTCCCAGTAACAAAAGACCTTAAACAGGAATGCTATCTATCTCCAACCTTATCTGCTTTATATAGAATATTGGAGAGGTGTGTCCGAAATGGGAATATAGATGAAAGTATGAAAAACCAAGTCAAAATCAAACCAAGTATCAAAAATGTGGACTTAACGTGCAAATGACTAAAGTAGAATACTTATTAATAGGGAATGTGACAGAAGATCCAGAGTTGGAAATCAGAGATATCAAGACATGTAGAGAATATAAATAACTCGGTAGTATACTGTCAGATGAAGTAAATACTAGAAGGGATATAAAGAATAGAGTTCAGCAAGGGAAAGATCTATATTATAAATACAAACATGTTTGTATTTTAAGAACGATTTCCGAAGTGGAAATTGAAACAATTCAATAAACGTATTTTAACCTTTAATTGTGGCTTATTCCCATTTAAATAGTAATTACTTTAAAATGCCACAAGAAAATAGCTTCAGAACAATATTTTGGAATATTTAGAATATTTACACACAAACACTGTAACGGAACTTTTGGTGGTATTTCCATAAAAACTTTAAATGGATAATTATAGAATAATAAAAATAATAATAATCAGACCGGCCGGCATTTTCCTAGGTAAATTATTTAAATAGATTATAGAATAGATTTAAAGATGAACTTATGAAGGGAAATTTATTAGCACAGCCAAAAATTATTTCTTGGGAACTTTTCACAAAAGTTCAAGTTATATACTGAGTGTTTTATAAAATTTAATAAAATAAATTAAATGTATTTCATTAAATTTCCAATTTATTAATTTTTCAATATTTTTTTGTTTGTTTCAGTGGTTTTAAATTCACTAAGGTATCTATGCACAAAGACGGACATTCTTTCGGATCCTGATAAGTTACCAGAGGAGGCAAGACATATAGCGCTCGAAAATAAAAATCAGAACAAATAATTTTTTAATTGTGTTAAAGCTACTTAACAACGGATACATTTTGCTCATAAAAACGTGCTTGTTTACACTAGAGGCAAGTTGAAGGGTCTTTTTCATCTTTAAAAATATTTCCAATATTTAAAAAAATGCATACATGATTATGAAACTGTACACTATTATACTATTGATTTTGGCTCTTTAATGGATTTATTTAAAATGATGTATAGAGAATAATTTCAATTATGGTTTTTTATGTTTTTATTTGGTTTATATAACATAATTGTATTTATATTTGTTAGGTTTCAGATCCTAATTACCGTTACTAAAAAAATGAAGAGTAGCACTGTTAAAAAGATCATTTTCCTGTTGTGATTATTTTGAGTGTGTAATATTATTGTCCAATCGCATGCCATCATTATTTTTGTGACAGGAATTCTTAAGTGAAAATTATCAGAGTCATCAAAATAATCTTCATCAAAAAAGTCTTCTACTTTAAAATGTATATGTCTGAATTATCATTATAAGACTAATAAAAATAAACTACTAGAATTTTCTTTGACAAAAAAGATTTCACAAACAATTGTCGAACATTTGTGTTTTGAAATCTATTTCTGAGCTGGTAGCCGAAACACCTAATAAAATACTTCTCTTAGTATCTGTACATTGCGAGAATAGAAAAACAAGTAAAGCAATAGCTATTACAATACCGATGCATTAAAATGCCCACAATAATAAAGATACTATTAGCAACCGAAGAAGTACATTTGAACAAGTTTAAGAGTCCATTTAGCTACCGAGCTTCGGAAATATTTTGAGAAAAACAACAAAAACTAAAAAACCTGCATTCGACGAAGCAGTAAAAAAAAAGATTTTGCTATTCACAAAATATCATAATACAATTTAATTATACAAAAAAGAATAGCAAACTCAGAAGATTGGTTAGAAAAAGAAAAATTAAATATATTTAAAAAGATGTTCAAAAAGTGGAACATGAACAGAAGTGATACTACCGATTAAGAAAAGTAAAGAATACGTCCAAAAAGAAACTATAATAGTTTGTTTTTTAGCCAGGAGGGGTAATTCAAATTTACCGCGCCTTAATGCTTGTTTGTAATTGGTCCAACCGCAGGCATGTTTACTCCATTAAATTATGACATTTTGACACTAATGACATTAATGAAATTTTTAAATTCAAAATTTATATCGACAATTTTTTGTATTTTCTGCGTTATTCCTGTAATTGTAAGTAAATATGGGTTAGCCACAATTATATAGTAAATAAAACATGCAACTCAAAAAATATATTATGTCTGAGTTAGGGAATCAATTAGAAGATAAAGAGTGTATCTTCTACAATGGTATGAAGAAATTCTTCTTCATATCAATCCAACATTTTTTTGTTGTAATTAGTTAACAAAAAAACATATATTGGACGTGAATTTATTGTACGTGGACATTATTATTCAAAGATAAACAAAGTTAGGTTAGAATCGACGTGTGAGGTTGTCCGATACTGATGGCATGATGAACAGCCAAAAATACAAATACATGTTGGAACAACGTTTGGAGACAGAACTCAAAATTCAAGAACTCCAGAGTTTTCAAAAATTAGAAGATCAATATTTTAGATTGGTCCAGTAATTCGCCAGACCTCAATCCCATATAAAGTGGGCCATTTGCGAAGCTAGATTGCGCAAAATATACTGAACCACAAAAATTACAATGATAGAAGCGATCATTTAGGTTTGGTTTCAAAGGGTTAAATTACACTATAGTTTATTTTTATGAACGAGAGAGTAATTAGCATAATTTTAACTGGTACCTCCGACCACTCCATGGGCGTGCTCAAGATTAATTGAAAAATTACTTTGAATAATTGTAAAAAATAAATGAATTATTTTAGTGTTATAAAGTGTTATGTGTATGTAAACAAAAGTGACCTCTTTTATCACACACTATATTAGAACTGACTGGCCTACATTAAAAAGGGTTTTAAAAAATTCACATTTTTTAAATTTTTAAAAATTACAAAAGAGAAAAAGAATTTTTAAAACCGTCTAAGGTATGTTAAATAGATGAATAAAAATATTAATATAAAACTTACAGCTACTTGTTACAAATCCAAATCAGATTCAGAAGATGAACTTTCAGAACCAAGGTTTATAATAACTGGCTCGATCATTTTATCAGTAATATTGTCCAGCTTCCACATTTGTTCCTCTTCTTTAATAGTGTGATTTACTGCCTTTTCCCAGTTTTTCAGGTTGTACATTATTAACGGCCTCCAAAAACAACTGTTTAACATCATGAATTTTAAAAGTGGTATTTTTTCTTGAAACTTCACTCTTTATCTGTGCCCATACCAGTTCAATCGGGTTTAATTCACAATGATATGGTGGGGATCTAAGTACTGTCATTCCACGATTTTTGGCAATTTCATCAATTTCGTATTTTTTAAATTTTTCTTTATGAAGGGCACACAACGAATAAAGTTCCTTTCTTATAGATCCGGGATGGTACGTAATATTTTTTGAACTCAGCCAATTCTGCAAGTCTTTTTTTAACCACTTGGTTGTGGGCAGTCCTAATGTAAGTCTGGAGTGATAACTTGCATTATCCATTACTATTACACAGTTCTTAGGAAGAAGATCTATCATTTGTTCGAACCATTCTTGAAAGACATCAGCGTTCATGTCTTCATGGTAGTCACCGGTACGAGTTGATTCAAAAGTTAATAAACCACCTTCAATAAAACCGTCTGAACTGCCAATGTGTACTATTATCAGCCTGCGTCCCTTTCCTGATGGTGGGTTTAAACCAGTAGATAAGTTATTTACAAAAGCGTGCCTTTGACTTGTAACAGTTTCATCCTGCCAAAATTTATTTGGTGTATGACCCTCGTTGATCCATGTTTCATCAAGATAAAATATTTTTCTTTTTTGGTTTCTCATTTCCTTTATGGTTCTTAGAAAATGTCTTCTCCATATGACAATATCGCTTCTTTCTAATAAAATAGAGTTTCTGGGATTCTTTTTCCAGCGGAAGCCTATTTCTTTTAAAAGTTTCCATAACGTACTTCGACTCATTTCTGGGTAATCCTTATCATCTCGAACTGAGACAAGAAATTTAAAATGATATTCTATTTGAAATTTTGGTTTCCCTGGAGCATTACGTGGCATTTGAAAACTACCACATTTCTCTTCTTTAATAACTCTGTAAATCGTAGATTTCCCAACACCAAGTGTACTGCTAACAACTCAACGGTCTCATCAACACTTTCACATAAACATTTGTCTGTAAATGATTTAAAACAATTAAATATTAATGTTTTTTCATTAACTGTTAAAGGACCAATTTTTCGGCGTTTACACGGCACTTCCAAATTTTCCATAACACTAGTATACACAATAAACTGCACCTTGCAACTGAAGTACCTACTTTTAGTGAACTGTTAAGAATTTTGAATACGCCACTTGGACCTTCCTACAAAATGGAAAAACCCACTATCACATTTTCTGTGGAATAAGTTTAGAAGGTAATTATCTAGTCAATTACTGTCGTAGATTCCTGGAATTAAAGAATTAAATGTTTGATTGTTGAAACCCTTACTTCGTGGAATGCACTCATTTCAGATAAAATAAAACGTTTTATTTTATCTAAAGAATTAAACTTTATTTTGCAAATAGGTAGGTACTTATTAAACTTTTATTAGTTATATATAACCAATAAAATAAACATCTTACATTTCTTGCAAATTCATTAGTACCTGTTAACCTCCATCACTCCGACACTGGCAACCTTATTTAGGGATTAGTAACCCTCACAACTATTGTATTCTATTCTGCTCCAACCTTTATACCTGGTGGTCATACTCAATTTAAAATTGTTTTCCTATATACTTCTGTAAACTTGTTGACAAATATCTGTGTTTCATTGAGTCACCCGTATCAACAGTTTCGGGATTTGCATACATAATTTATTGTTTTATTACTCTCTCATACATAAAAATACACTATAAATGATGTAAGTTTACCTTTATAGTTTTGTCAAAATATATTTTTTTTCTCCATTAATTCGCACAGTACTGTACGTCATAGCTAATTATAAAATGATTATTTACCAGGTAGTTCTTTAGGCCTTTATTTATTCTGTTATTTCTCATTATTTTATTCGCATTGCCAAAAGTACACGCCATTTAAGTTGCAGGATATTGACATTATATAGGTAGCCTACTTTAGAAATCATCTTGTTTCAATTTTGTCAAACGCAATTTGAAAGATAGTTATAAAAGTTTTTATTGTTTGAACTATCTTTATATTAAATTAACCAATATTTATTGAACAAAAATAAATCTATTAAAGAGTTTTTTTAGTTACCTCCCTTAACCCTCAACATATTTTTAGTTTCATAATATTATCTAGTAGGTGAACAGGACTCTTTTAATCTGTCTACTCTTTTTTTTCAAATAAGACTCGTTTTTTACTTTTTTAAACTTAAAACCGCCATATAACCACTTATTTTGATTTTAGTAAAAATATAGTTATATGTAATTTTCGGGGCAATTGTTTTTATATATGATTAATGCACTTTTTTAAATAGTTTAAGATGTATTGTTTTATGTAATATAGAAATTTATTTTTTAATATAATAGAAAATACTTGTTTTTTTTTTGGTTTCTGTCAAATCGAGTTCAGAATTTTTCATGATTCTTATGATTTACAGAAAAGCATTGATACGTAGAACAAAGTTACTTGAAGACATTAGATACTGGAATTTTTAATAACTTTTTGGATTTACCCAAAAAATTATTAAGTGATGTATACGATTAAAAGGAGAAAGTTAGAATACCTCGGACACATAATGAGAAGCGGCACTAAATACAGATTACTGACAATAATCCTAGTATTCGGAAAGCGAGGAATTGTGAGAAGAATATCATGGTTAAAAAACCTGAGGAAGTGGTTCTCCACAACCACAACTAATCTATTTAGACCATCAGTTAATAAACTAATTATAGCAAG